GGCTCTAGATTCAACCTCCAGCACAACAGGGCATGGGGGTCAACTCAGGGCTTTGCCCTCCTCTGTAATGCCCAGGGCCTTCTAGGGCTCAGCATGAAACAGCGGTAGACAATGCATGCCAGGTTAGGGTTAGGGTTAGGGTTAGGGTTCATCAATCGCCTCTCTGGAATGAAATCCCAGCCCCAACTCCTGGTTCACAGATCACTGGCCTTTCTCCATGAAGCCACAAATAAATGATCTAGTAACCTTCTAAAAAGAGTAAAGTTCAGGAGAAAAGGCAAACGGAGTCAAGTTAATTATGAAACAATTAAACATGACAGACTATTGGAATCAAAACCAAGGAATGTAGTGAGGACAGGTTTCTCAATTGCCCAAGGCAGAAGAAACACTTCCTTTTGGACTAAAATTAGAAAGCCACTGGGAAGGAAACCTAAGAAGGAAGGGAGGAAGCTGAGCACCATTAAGTCAGCAACGAGGAGAGAGGGAGAAAGCGAGTATCTATTTTATTTCTTAGATCATCTCTTAAGAACCATAGCGCCCACGCTTTCTTGGAATTTCAGTGCATTTTTTGACCCCCACACGGGGCATCGGGGAATAATCTGGGAGCTCTGTCAACAAGTTCTCAAACTTCTCAGAATTCCAAGAGCTTGCAGATACCTAATCGCAGCTCAAGGGTCCAGGTACAAAAAGTAAAATTTGGTTTTCACTTGGCAGGCATCTGCCTAGCGAGTGCCTGACACCGTCTGGGACTGTGGTGGGGCAGGCAGCAGGCTGCAACCTAGGTCAGTCTGGTTGGCATCACCAGGATCTCAGGCGTTGCCTGCCCACAGGGCGAGCCCCAGCGGGCGTAAGCCGCCTGCGTGGAACAGACTTGGGCACAGCTGAGGGTCCGGCGCCACCTGGCCAAGGGGGCAAAAGGGGTTCCAGGATCGCCTAGCTGCCCGCGCCGCCTGCCAGCCCCGGAAGCGCCTCCCTCCTGCCCGGGGCTCCGAGGGGCGGGGAGTCTAACGCCCCCTTCCGGGTGCCTCCGCCCGGCCGGCCAGCCGCGCTCCTCCTCCGGGCGGGAATCCTTCCTCCCCCGCCCCTCCCGTAGTCGGGCCCCGGAGCCAGGCCCAGTCCCAGGGGGGCACCCCCGGCTCCGGCTTCCCCTCCCCGAGGCCTCTGCCCGTCTTCCCGACCCTTGAGGGCCGGGAAGACCCCGCCGGCAGAGGCCGGGACCCACCGCTCATTACGACATCTTCCTCCCTGGCCTCCGCCGCCTCCGCCGCCACCGAGAGCCTGACACCGCCCGCCTAGCGCCCGCCAATCCCGGAGCCCGCCACCGCCCGAGCGACGGCAGCGCTTACCAATAACCGCTCGGTACATTGGGGACCGACAGCATTTTCAACCAATCATTGGGAAGCATCTAGAGTGACGTTGGTATGGCCAATAGGGCTGCGAAATGTCACTGATAGACGGTAGTAGCCACCAACCGGAAATCAACTGAGGCATGAACGACGTGTCTATTAGCCAACTGGCGGGAGGCAAAGTCCCGCCTGCTAGGAAGTTGATGGACAGCAACAGGAAGCGGGATGGGGAGGGGCTTAGCTGAGAAGGGTTTCTGTATTGGTCGTGGTTGACCTTCCACCCACCTCTAACCCAGAAGATGGGTGATAGATCTGCCCTAAAGCCAATCAGAAGTGCTTAGTGTGAGGCCAAGAAATGCCCCGTAAAGAGCTTATACATCATTCTTGATACAGTCTGGCGTGGAGACGTCCAGTGCAGCCGTCGGTGCCCGGCGCCGTGTGAGCGCATAGCCTTCACCTCAGCCCCTAGGCCCCTCCACTGTCACCAGTGGAGATCCGACGCCCTGGCGGGGGTTGGTCACCTGGTTCTTCCCAGAGGGGATTGTCATGATATCATTTCAAGGCCCTGTTAATCTTCACCAATGTGTCACACAGTCCCCGCGATCCATGCGGCTCCAAACGGGCACATCGTTATCGTCTGAGCCGTTTTCCAAAAGCAGATTCCCAGGGTCGTTCCTAATCACATTTGGAACTTCTCGGGCATTCATTCCTAGGATCTTCATTTTAACCAGCGCCTCTGATGGGCAGAATTGCGCACTGGAATCAGAGCGCCCCTGCTTGGTGTCTGCCCCATTTCCTCCCGAATGAGGTACTGCTCCTGGTAGGCATCCCCGGTAGGTTTAAGTTTCTCTTCCAAGCCCTCTGCGGGAGGCATGGCATCGAGAGGGAATTCTCGCTGGCTTAAGTCCTACGTGGGCCAGAAACCTACACACACCACCTGCAGTGGAACATTAGACTCTGTTGAAGCCACACTACTCACACCTACACCTCAAGAGAGTGCCTTTCCTTTTTTTTTTTTTAAACCCAATCGAGAGAAACTTTTTACCTCCTGTAAGCTAGAGTATGGGAGTATATACCACAGCTTACAAAGTCAACACTTGAGGGACACTGGTCATAGGTAGCTACAACATATATACACATGGGATCTCATTCAGACCTTTTGTGATGTTGAGGATGAACCCCAAACACTAAGCATGAACTTTGTCATTGAGATCTACCCCCAGCTCTCAGTACATTTTCTCTTAGCTTCATCTATGTTCATTTCCTTCCTTCTTCCTATTCCTGCAAAAGAAAGGTTGCTGAGATAAAAAGATTAAAAAAAAAATAAAGGGCCAGGTGCATAGAATGTAGTACTTTTGGTATGTTTGTTTTGGGCTTTTTTGAGACAGTGTTTCTGTGTGCAACAGCTCTGGCTATCCTGGAACTCACTTTGTAGATGAGGCTGGCCTGGAACTCACAGAGAGATCCTCCTGCCTCTGCTTCCTGAATGCTGGGATTAAAGGTGTGTGACATTACTACCCGGCTAGAACGTAGTATGTTGAATGACCAGTCTACCCCTCCCTGTGATTTCCTTTTGAAAAACAGAGTATTAGATGCTGTCACTCCCGTAGCTAAAATCTTTCACTGGGAGCTGGGAAGATGTCTCTTGCTGCTCAAGTGTAAGAGACCTGAGTTCAAATCCCCAGAAACCATGTAAAAAGCTGGAGCCCAGCATCTGAAAGTCCGGCACAGACTGGAGGACTGTGTGTGTTTGTGTGTGTTGGTGGGGAGGGGGGCTTGCTGGCTGCCAGCCGAGCTCCAGATGTTGAGATACTGAAGCAGAGCAAGACACCCACCGGCCTACTCTGACCTGCGTGTGTACACGCATGTCCATACACTGTTCCTTCACTGGGACTGTATGCCACCCCCAGAGTCAAAGCTTTCTGCTCAAACCGGGCATTTCACACTTGCACTGCCACACCCGATGCCCTCCACACTCCCTTTGCCTCTGTAGTGTAGTCTTCTCTCTCAAGGAAAGGTGTCACAGCGCCTAAACACATAGGTCTCTTCCTAATAAGTTCCCTTTCCTCTTAGGTCAGCCATTCCTTTGTCCTGGTAAACTCAGGCGTAAAGGCCCTGATCAAAAGCTGTTTTCTTCATCCCTGCCCAGCCAAGTTTTGTCCTGTTTGTGCAGTCCTGGGCTGTTGTTGGCACATATAAAGGGCTTCCCTCTCACACTCTTCTATTTGTTTGTTGTTTCCATGCTAGGGATCGAGCTAGGGCCTCCCATGTGTGAGGCAGTCTCTACCACAAGAGCGTCGATCTCCATAATGACTGCCCTAAGAGACTGAGCTACAGCGGAAGGCCTAAGGCTCCTACACAAGGGGTCAGAAAATGGATTCAGAGTTCAAGAATGACTGCTTGCATACACTCACATCTGCATAAGACTTGTTTAGCCCATGCTTTCTGTTCCCAGGCCAGTTTCCAGTTTGGCTTGCTTCATTGTGTAGCCAAGAACTCCACCCGGGTTCCGTGACTCAGTGAGGATGCAGGGGTTTTGGTGGGGAGGTGGGGTTGACTATCCTGCTGGGTGGCTGTCAGACCTCCTCTAGGACAAAGACTGAAGGTAGCTAGCTATGTTCTACCTAGAGGCCCTGTCACAAAGAGCAAGTGAGGAATGTGGGCGGGGGACAGTGAGAAAGTCTAGAATTCACCAGTAGCTGGTGGTTGGTGTTTTCTGAGACAGGGTCTCAAGTAGCCCAACCTTGCCTGAAACTTCTGATCCTCCTGCCTCCACCTCCTGAGTACTGCGGATTATAGGCATTGGCCACCAGGCCCAATTTGGCATCAGTAGTTTTCAACCAAATAATTCTGCCTTTTTTTTTTTTTTTTTTTTTTTTGGTTTTTGGTTTTTCAAGACAGGGTTTCTATGTATTGCTTTAGAACCTGTCCTGGAACTTGCTTTGGAGACTAGGCTGCAGGTTGGCTTCGAACTCAGAGATTTGCCTGCCTCTGCCTCCCAAGTGCTGGGATTAAAGGCATGTGCCACCAATGCCGGGCTGAGTCTGCCCTTTTAAAGCCTGTCTGTTTTTTGTTTTGTTTTGGGCTTAATACTCTTACTAAAGGCACAAAGATGGGGACACCTTTTTTTTTGGTCCCTTGTGGTACAGGGGTTTGAACCCAGGACCTCATGCATGCTAGACCAGCGCTTCTGCTAAACTGTATCAGTGGAGTCTTTGAAATTCGTTCATAAGCCCCTCAGACTACCACACAAATTCTTATCTCACAGATCTCTGTTTCCAAGTTGTCTCCTCTCTTCCAAGTGAGGGAAGAGGCTAGGCTTCAAAGCGCCTGATTTCTCCCTGGTCACATTTATTTTTGCCATACTGGTGATGGGACACAGAGCCTTGTGCGTGCTAGGCAAGTGCTGTACGCATGAGCTACAGCTTCAATCTCCTGATCATACTTCAGACTCAGCAGAAAAAGCCTTTCACCAGTTCTGAAGTTGGGTTCCTGTCCTGTCCCAGGACGTCAGTCCCTAGGATGGAACCAGGCATCTGTATGAAGATCCTCAGACAGTTCATGTGTGTAAACAAGGCACAAGAGCACCCTTCACCACACACCGCCAGCCAGCCCACTCCCGCCCTCCCGTCCCTGACTAGCTCCTTTCCCTACCTGCACTGGTATTTGAAGAGCAAGGGTGGTTAGGTGTCTCCAGCTCGGTCTTCCCACATCACCCAGGACACCATCTTGTCCCTGGTGGGTCTGGAGGCAAGTTCTGTCAACGCTGGTTCTGTTCCCTTCTTGCCTCCAGCTGCTTTCAGCCTCTTCTGTCAGTCTGTCCCCATTTCTAGTGTGCAGAGACTCTTGGTCTCCACTACTTACAGTCCCACGTTTATCTTGCTCTCCACTGCGCACCCTCCACGCCAGCAAAGTGCCTGATGGCAGGTGCAGTTGCTGGCTGTACTTGAACACTTCTCACAGCGTTACCCACTTCTCATTCAGACTCGGCTTCCTCTGTGTCCACTTCACTTCCTCTCCGGCTCCGGCTTCCTCTTAAGCCCCCTCTACACTATTCCTACTTCCCAATCCTTGTGGTTCACTTCTGTATGTGGCTGCCCTGTCTATCCAGAGTCCCCAAGGATGCTGAGGGAAGCACATGGAGCCATGGTCTCTGTCCCCAGGAAGCTGCAGGGCAGCTTATAGAGACATCTACAAGGCTCCACAGTGCTCGTGGTCTACAGTCTAGACGGATAGCCTTTGTCTAAGGGCATCCTTGGGCTCCATTCTCTCTCCTATGGCCCCAGATTGACAGAATAATTCTTCAAACAACTACAGCCGTCTCAGTCTTCCGAGGATGCAACTTTTGCCTTAAGGAGCTCCTCATGGCCTCTGCCTTTTCCTCCTCTGGCTTTCTCTTTCTTCATCCTCTACCTATGGGGAAGACTTTCCCAGCCTGCCCCGCTCCCTTAATACACAAACCCTGACAGTGGCTTGATGGGAAAACTCTTGGTTTGAGTGAACGATGGTTCTTTTTTTTCCCTTCTGTTTTCCTCCATGATTTCTGTGGTCTCAGCTACCCCAGTCTTCCAGGAACGCCAAAGGTAGACTCCCTGTTATGTTCTAGCTGTCCCCAGCCTGCATCTCAGTGCACACATAAAGCCACCAGGTGCCCTTGCCTCAAGCCCAGGGTTGCCACTCCTGTCCCATGCCCTGACTACCCCACTGCCTTCCTGCCCAGGTTGATGGCTGCCGGCCAACTGCCACAGAACCTCCCAGCAAGGACATTCCAGCCATCCCTCCCATAGGGTTCTTCCTTCTTGCCTGCGTCTTTCTCTTGGCTAGACCTCCTGGGTAGGATCTGTACAACCTCCAGAAGAGAGGGCAGAGAAGGTGCTCTTTGGGCGGGTGTTGGTCCTCTGCAGCTTTCATACTGTTGCCACCAGAGGGCACCCAAGGCATTTCCAAAAACCTGTGACCATGGTGTCACCTGCCGGCCCCAGAGGCCCAGGTTACAAGGTGGGTATTCAGGACCTGCTGTAGGCCAGCCTAGGCCCAGCTTCATCCCAAGGTGTAAAAACCTTAGCACCCCCACAAGAAGAGCCATTTGCCTACTCGGGAAAGCACATCCCCACTGACAGCAGCCTCTCAGTGTCCTGAAAACAGCGTCCTACAACTCAACATCTACTGGCCCTCTCCCAAACATGAGAGCTTTCTACCCTGTTTTCCCTGGTCCACACTTCCCACAGCAGACTGGGGCATCCCCAAAATAGAGAGGACTTCAGCATTCACTGAGCAAGCGTGGCGTCTCCCTTGGCCCATCTCACCATGGAGCTCTTGACTCTCCCCATAAAGCCACACTAGCCTCCTGAGGGGTCCCCTGAGACTCTTGAGTGTGGAGAGTGGAGGGTCACAGAGGCCACTGGCAGAGCTCCTTCACCTGGAAGCAGGACCCAGCTGGCAGGGACTCGGGAAGTTGGCGATGGCGGTGATAACAATAACAATAATCATATTAATAATACCATCGGGGCCACAAAACGGCTGTGAAATACCCTCTAATGATCCCTTGTATTTATAGATCTCCTTCTCTTCAGAGCCATTGCCCAATTAACCCTCCCAGCTTCCCTAGAAGGGACAATTAACCCCATATTTTATGGCCAGGGGAAACCAAGGCTCTGAGAAGGTACTTGAGTTGGCTGAGGTCACAGTGAATTTGTAGAATAGCACTCTTGTTCTTTTCTCTGTACTCAGATACACATGTGCACATACACGTACATACATGTGCTCACTGCCCATCCCAGGTCTGCCTAGCCAGCATCTCAATACCTGGGAAAACTCAAGACTTGGGCAAAGGACAGTTGCCTGCAGTGATGAGACAGAGGCCTTAGTTAAAGAGGGTTCAGCCAAGGGCAGTAGAGGCTCCAAAGACATGCTCATTTAGTCTCTCATGATCCTAGTCAAGACTGTTGAGGAAAGGAAGGTAGGGTCTGGGGATGGCCCCATACAGCATGTCCCTACAAAAAGAGACAGAAGGATATGCCTTTTCTGTGTGCATGTGTGTGGTATGTGTGTGCTGATACACACCCATGTGTCTGTGTGTGGGGATAAGAAGTTGACAGTTGTCTTCCTCAGTCACCCTCCACCAAGTCTCTCACTGATCCTAGAACCTGGAGATTCAGCTAGGCTGGGGCCAGCAAACCCGGGGATCCTCCCATCTCCAGCTCCCCAGCAGCTGGATTACAGATATGCATCACTGCACATGGGTCCTGGGTCCTGGGGATCTGAACCCAGGCCCTCACACTTTGCAGCAAGCCCTTTTTCAACCAAGTCCTCTCTCCAGGGCCCAGTGACGAGTCCTTAAGAGCAGCTGCTCACCATGACAGTTCCAGTAATCTCTTCAGTGCCACAGTACTAGAGGACAGCAAGGCGAGACAAGGCAGGCCTTAGAAGTAGAAGGTGGCCGGGAGTTGGTTGGCGCACGCCTTTAATCCCAGCACTCGGGAGGCAGAGGCAGGCAGATCTCTGTGAGTTCGAGGCCAGCCTGGACTACCAAGCGAGTTCCAGGACAGCCTCCAAAGCTACAGAGAAACCCTGTCTTGAAAAACCAAAAAAAAAAAAAAAAAAGAAGAAGTAGAAGGTGAGGGAATCGAGAATACCCTTGAGAGGGCTGGAGGGAAGGCTTAGCAGTTAACAGTACTGAATGCTCTTCCAGAGAACCCAGATTTGATTTCCAGCACCCACATGGCGGCTCACACTCATCTATAACTCACATGTGTTGTGTGCAGATACACACGCAGACCAGACACCAATGCACTAAAGAAAATCAAAAAATTGACCTTCTGAAGGACAAGAGCGATCATGTGGCCTACAGGGGAGGGCTCCAAGAACAGGGTAGCGTGAGGGGGCAGGGCAGGGACATAGGCCTAAAGCTCAGCTTCAGGTTTTCATCTGCAAAGTGTAGAAGAAATGGGGAAGTCTCACGTGGTGGAGCACACCCAGCATCCCAATTACTCAGGCAACTGAGGCAGAAGGATCACGGGTTTCAGGGTAGCCTGTATTCCATAAGGAGACTGATATCAAATATTAGAAAAGATGCCAGGCATGGGTAGCGCACACCTTTCTTCCCAGAACTCGGAAGACAGAGGCTGTAAGTTCAAGGCCAGACTGGTCTACAAAGTGAGTTCCAGGATAACCAGGGCTACATAGGGAAACCCTGTCTCAAAAGAAAAACATTTAGAAAAGACAGAAAGGCCTAGGTATGTTCCTCAGAGGCAAAGTGTTTCCCTGCATATTCAAGGGTTTAATCCCCAACTCCATAAGAATGAGAAATAAACCAGGCAGTGTACACCTTTAACCTCAGCACTAGGCAGGCAGATCTTGTGAGTCCTAGGTCAGCTTGATCAACAGAGCAAGTTCCAGGACAGCTTCCACAGCTACTGAGAAACCCTGTCTCAAAAAACCAAAACAATACAAAACTGAGAAATAAGAGAGCTTTTTGATCTGAACCCAGGCCTGGGAAGCAGAACGATGCTGTCATTTGCAGCAGAGAGAAACAAGGTCACCTAAGTTAAGAATTTGCAGTTATTAAAAGTAGTTCTGATAACCAAAAGGGTAGTGATTTAAGAATAGGTGACATTTGTGTCTGTGAAACTCTGGCCTGAAGAGAAGCTCCTGTTTGTCTCTATTGAAAGAATAGCAGCTCCAGTCAAATTAGCCCGCTTTGCTTTGCATGGAGCTTTAAACTGATGCTCCTGGCCTCGCCCCCACCACCAGCTCCGTCCTGCCCAGGTTTCCACTCTTCTTCTGGCCTCTGACCCCTGCAGCCCCAACCTGGGATGGGCCCTCCCTGGTTCCTAGTTTCACCTCTGAAACTCCAAGGCTCCACATTGCTGAGATTTTACTAGGGCTCCCAGCTGGGTTCCACCTTTGATCTGCCTTCAAAAAATCAGGAACACTAACAGGAGAGTAATTTTCCCCCGACCTGCTGGGAGGAAGGCAGGCTGGAGGCAGGTCCTGACCAGCCCGACCCACTCTAGTGAGAAGCTCGTGGCAGGGGGAGGGGGCCATGGGAGCGAAGCCACCTTTCCTCTCTAACTTCCATTTCCTTCGGAGTACAGCCCCACTCCCGGCAGGAGGGAAGCTGAGGCAGCTGCTGACAGCACCTTCTCCCCCCACACTGGGCTCTTCCCATTGCACCCTGCCTGTGGGGCTGGCTCACCACTGGACCTCTGTCCTTTCCCTACAGTTCCCCAGCCCGTCCCTGGGGAGGGTCACTGACCACACAGGGTAAGACCTGACAGTGGGAAGTCCACCCAACCGAATGGGCACTTGAGACATTACTCAGGTTGATGTTCCCACAGCAGCGGGGCTCTCTTAAAAGTCTGGACTCAGATAGGAAGAAAAGTCCAGCTGGGAAAAGGAGGGACCAGCTTCATGGTGCCCCCCAACTCCTCAAACTCAGTGATACAGGCTGCAAGCCCTGGCCCATGGTTTCCATCATTCTCAGACAGAGGCCCCACCCATTTCTGTTCAAAGGCTCTGGGTCCTTACCTGTTGGAGAGATACTCACCTACCCTTTTAAGTGGTTAGCAGTGTACATCCCCCAATCCCTTCCGAGGTCCTGGGCTTCTCTGTGCAGGTGGGATGGAGCCTGGGAGATGGCAAAACTCTCTACCAGTTCAGTCAAGGGCTTCCCTGGATGGATAGCCTCCTTAGGTATGGAAAGAATAGGGGCCCATCCTAGAGAAGCCTGGCAGCCAAGTTTAACTGGGTAAGAGTTATAGGGACCCCAGCTTCGCACTTTCCACGTGGGAGAACCCCTTTTCAGCCCTGTGACTCTGGCACCCGGCACTGGGAATTTTGCACATCTTCATGCCTAACCCTTCTTCCTTCTAGAGAGGTGCCTACGTACACACGCTGAAAGTGTTGCCTAAATACTAGGACTTTTCTAGATTACCCAGACCCCTGGGTACCACACACAATCTGGACATGTAGGAGATATGCTTGGTAAACATGAGCCCAGAAGCTTGGTTTACCTGCCTCCCTGGCTACATGTGCTCTTTGAAAGTGGCCCCATGTGCTCTCCACCATCTTGTCCTAAGTACCTCTCCCTGACCTGGGGGCCAAGAGGAGAGTCCAGGGAATGGAGGAAGTTGGGAGCCACCTAGTCTCCAGGGGGCGGGATCCCAAATAGAGTGATAGCCATCACTCTGGCAGCTCCAACCTGTTCTATCAGGTGAGTAAGTTTTGTTGGTTGTTTGTTTTTTTTTTTCCTAGAGGAGAAAGGTGAAGGCCTTGGTGGGGAGCTGTTCTGACTCTGAAGTGGCCTTGCAGCTCCTTGGCCCCTCCAGGCCTTGTGCAAGATCTGTAAATCTCTCACCACCCACAGGCTGGGGGGTGGTGCCGAGCCAGTGCTACAGACTTTCATGTCAGAGAGGTTTTATGCATGTGTTGCTTCTGACAGGCTCCATGGCTCCTGCCTGGGGCCTCTCCCCAGCCAGTAAAAATCCAGCCCCATAAATCTTCGCTGCCCCTCTGAGGGCCAAGCTGAATCCCTCCCACTCCATACTCCACCAGCAAATCTCTGTTCCCCCAAGATCCTACAATGCAGTGGTGGAGGACGGGGGCCCGAGGCCTTGGAAAAGAGACCCTCTCTGCCCAGCCCCTGTGGCATCTGCCCCTGCCACACTGGCCTTAGAACCTGTGACTGAATGG